AGTTGATCCCTTTTTCACCCATACAGGAATCTGATCTAAGAATCCAAGCATACATTCAGCCTTTGCCACAAATTCCTTCAGATCTTCATGCCCCATGGACACAAGGCTCATGATATAGTCATGGTGGTTCCATGCCAATTCTGCTGAAATCTGCTGCTCCTCATTGCTCAAGGACGCCAACGTATTTGGAATTATATGTTTGGCACCAATAGCATCCATAAGCATCTTGGCCCTCTTGTCCCCTTGCTTATACCCCTCTTTGATGATCTTCATTTGGGACTCAGCCCTTTCCAATTGATTGATACAAAGAATCTTCTGGGGCCCATCTTCCAACTCATCCCTTTTCTCCTCAAGCTTAATAACAACTAAAATATTTCCATGCAAAAATCAATCTTCTGCACCCCATGCCCATAACTCCTTTCCCTTTCCAACCATGTCTTAACCTCCCCAACCAAATGGGGGAATTGTTGCTTGGCACCCCCCACCTCATGCCCTAACTCTTATGTGGTTCCCACCCGATGTTTTTTTCCCTTTGTTCAATCCACTCCTTTGCGTTCTCTCATCTGCTGTTGTGCTCTGTTATAAATTCCTTTTAATACATAAGGTTTCATCAGGATTGTCCTGTTCATTTCCTTGCGCATTTTCCTTTCTAATTCTTCAGTACGCTCTCCATTTGGGGGAGGGGGGATCGGCAAAAAAAAAAAAATGGTCCTGCCTCAAATCAAGGCCACCAATTCTTTTTTTTTTTTTTGGCCCCCCCCCCCCCCCTCTAGGAAATTCTGTGCGGTCCATGTCGGTGACGCTAGCGACATTGCGATATCTATACGATGTCTACTACTATGATGAGGCGTGTGATATAACAATATCCTCCTATATTTTATCCTTAAATAAAAATACCTCCAACGCATAGATAGTAAATTCATAAACAAACTAAAATATTAAGAAAACATACACCTCCACAACGTCGTATTCTAAAATAAAAATAAAAAATAAAAATAAATACGTAAATGCAAGTGCAATGCATAGACAACAAAAGGTATAAGAGGGGGCGGATCAAATTAAACCGTTAAAAAATCCGGTTATAAAGCATTAAAATAGACAAGATATAATTTAATAAAAAACTAACAAAATTTTAATTACCCAAAACACCCCGTGCCCACGACCGGCATTTATTTCAAAATAAATATAATATTATATAGTTGGCAATTTTATAAAATATAATAAATATTTAAAAAAATAATATTGCATTAAAAAAAATAATATATCGTATAATATATTAAAAATAATATATCGTTTTTAGTATAACATAATATTATTCTTAGCATAATATAACAATATTCTAAACATAAAATATGTGAAATACCATAATATTATAATTAAAATAAAATGATATTATTTATAAAAATAATATATTAATTTGATTTTTCCCAATAATAATATGCTTTGAGGTCTTTATCCATAATACAAATTTCGGAGCAATTCTTAAAGACATTCTCCTAGGTTCCCACAAGGTTCGCGCTATGTTCCCATAAGGTTTCCAAGGTTCCTGCAAAGTTCCTGCAAGGTTCCCATAATTTTATTCCCCAAATTTTCCCGAAGGTTGCCAAAATTTTATTCTAACGTTCCCACAAGAATCCCACAATTTTATTCCACAAGATCCCCACAACTTTGTTCCACAAGGTTCCCACAACTTTGTAGAATGCAAATATTCGCTAAATCAGATTTGTTTGGAGCCCTTTGCTGGTCCTTTCCTGTGTTTGACGGGCTGTCTCTTCGGGATACCTCAGCCCGTTTGGCGTAGTTTCGGAATCCGGTCCCATGACGGTTATATCCAGCAAACGACACGATCCACTTGGACGCGCACCTAATGATATTCCTAATTGGGATGTAACTCTACCGCTATAATCAACGACCATTTACCATAGAACTTCAACGATTGCAAAACCACTCAATATACTCATGGTAAATGGTGATTTACTTTAATCCAACTTGCGAATGTAGGACACATTTTGTGAGATTGAATGCTTGGACCATGCTAAACCGGACAATGACGTGACACGGCACGGTACCATAAAGCGCCGAAGTGTCCAAAGAAAATTCGCGGCCAGGCCAGGGTTGGGTTGACCCCCGCGCTTGTTTCTCCCAGAGGCCGCCAAATCGACGTCGGAACGTATGGCACAAAGCCTCACAGAAGGCCATCCACTCGAGGCGCAAGCCGACATCCTATCGGTAACCGTGTGAGCACGGACCCGGAGACGGAATGGATCCAAGGTGCGATCGACAATTTGAAAGGAAAGCTCTTTGGCTTGGTGATCCGTTCATCGACGACGGCTATGGCCCAACCACCGCAGGCATCTTCAGGATCGTTGCGATTGAGTATCGTCGTGACTTTCCTCCAGGTTGAGAACACGATAATTCGTCGTACCCTTTGAAGTCGTATTTGGAGAAGTTGAAGATGTGGTATAGAATTTAGTCTGCCTTGAACCTCATGATGTTGGCAATTTTTACTTATATTTCAAACACGGTGGCCTCTCCACCAAACAGATCACGACATAAAATTGCAGGTCCGCGGTGACAATCGATTTTGCCAAGACGCCAGATCGCTCGTATTGAGGCTATCACCAAATCGTCGTAAAGATGAAACGATCTTCCATCAAGATCAGGAAGACACTTCTATCAAGATCGGGAAGAAATCTATATTATCCTCATGAGGATTTCTACAACGACGAGTATTACTATGGTGACTGGAGCGTTCCCTGGTACGATGAAGGTTGGCAAGATTATCTAGGTATATTTCATTAATGACGAAGATGGTTGGTGATATAATGACGAAACATTATCAGGTCCAGTGTCATCACCGCCCCAACCGATATCAACACCAGCACCGACACCAGCTGCATCCTCAGACAGACAGGATCCAATTTCCTCCTCGACAATGTAGGAAAAGAACCTAGCAAAGGACTTGGAGACAAGCCTACATGGAGAAGAAAAGGCGCAGGCAAAGGCCTCAAGGGCTTCGGAAAGCGTAGCCGTTTTGGAGGCAATCGCGACTTCAAGGGCAAGGGCTGCCGGAAAGGAAAAAGCAAAAGCAAGAAAGGCAAGGACTACAGCAATTGGTGGAACTAAAGGCCAGATCACTTTTTAATGACGTCACTTCCAGAAGCACTACAAGACCAGGTCTTAATGTGACCCTTGGAGCGTCGAACATCAACCTTAAGAATCAGCGGCCTTTTGAACACTATCATGTTGGCACCTACCCAAGGTTCGCAAGGTTCCCACAGCTTTGCTCCAAGGTTCCCCAACGTTCCCACAACTTTCTTCCCCAACGTTGCCACAACTTTGCCGCACAAGGTTCCCACAAAGTTCCCACAAGGTCCCCCCAAGGTCGTTTGAAGGTTCCCAAGATTCCCAGAAGTTTGCTCCAAGGTTCCCACAGCTTTGGTCTAAGGTTGCCCCAAAGTTCCCACAGCTTTGCTCCAAGGTTCCCATAAGGTTTCCATAACTTTGCCCCACAAATTTCCCAAGGTTCCCACAAGATTGCTCCAAGATTCCCACAATTTTGTTGCAAGGCACCGCCTAAGGTTCCCCCACAAGGTTCCCCCAACCCACATTGTTGCTTCATAAGTTTCCAACAAAGCATTTGCTCCAAGGTTGCCCCAAGGTTCCCGCAGCTTTATTTCAAATTTCACGTAAGGTTCCCACAATTTTGTTACAAGGTTCCCAGAAACTTCCCACAACTTTGCCCATTTTGCTTCAAGATTCCCACAAAGGACCAAAGGTCCCCACAGCTTTGCTCCAAGGTTGCCCCAAAGTCAAGGTTCCCACAGCTTTACTCCAAAATTACCACAAGATTTCCACAACTTTGCCCCTCAAGGTTTTTCCAAGGTTCCATAAGGAATCAAAAGTCCCCGCAACCTTGCTCCAAGGTTGCCCCAAGGTTCCCACAGCTTTGCTCCAAGGTTCGCGCAAGGTTCCCAGAAAATTTTCTTCACTTCGCTTCAAAGTTCCCACAATTTTTTTTGCAAGGTAAGGTTCCCACAACTTTGCCCCACAAGGCTCCCAAGATGCCCACAACATCGTTCCACAATTTTGCCCCACAAGGTTTTTCCAAGGTTCCCACAGCTGTATTCCGAGGTTCCATGAAATTCCCACAACGTGGCCCCGAAGTTCCCACAAGGTTCCTAATCGACAACCAAGGAAACCTCATTATACCTCAAATCTATTTCATTGTGTTTCCTACTATTACCTTTTGCCTTGCTAACCTTTTAATATCCTATCCTTTTAATTTATTTTATTAACCTAAAAAAAGTGTTGCATTTTGCGCTTAAGCTATTAAGGATATTCTTTAGACGTATTAATAATTATGTAGTAACACTTAATTGGTGGCATTTTAATTTAATTAAGAATTAATTATTGGTAATTAGTTAGTAGCAGTTAATTAAACATATTTAATTCGTGGTAAGTAGTAACGATCCTTAGATGCGAAAAGATATATTCAATACCCTAGCGAGTAGTAAATATGCCTACCATACAAATCACGGCAATACAACGACCGCGACTCACGACCACTAATATACATATCAAAGAAAAATTAAAGATTCATTAATCGTTATCTAGATATTTAGTTTTCATCATCAATAAATACCTCTAATTCATATTAAAATTTCTAAAACTAAATATCGCGAACCAAAAATAACTTTTCCATAAGTCCCCCGACGTATATATATCTTTCCTAAAAACAATAGTAATAATAAAAATAACACTTTCTTCCGCGGCCGGCCAACCGACTAGAACCTATAAGGAGTTGTGGCAAGATATCACTGCGGGCACAATTAAGAACATGAGTCAGGAGTTCCGGCACAATTGCTTTTGTCATCTGACCCTGCGCCAGCCATGAAATCTGGTGCACTCCTAGCTTTCTCAATTGGCCGGACCACGCTATCTTTTCACTCAAATCTTGCATCAAAAAACAGGTGTATTTAATATATCTGTTTTTCCAAGCCAAACAATGCTAATGATGCAACTGGCCGCAGGCAGCATCATTCAAACGTCACGTCAACTCAAGACGGACGGACCCTATGCCTGCAACCAAATCTGACACTTGTCTTCTCATCTGGACCACAACTTCTAACTCATGCGGGCATTGTGTTCACAAACCATCAAAACATTATCCTTTAGGAACTGTTCGAGCATGCTCAAATTCTGGTCATGTTCACAATGTTTTTGGGTGATGAGAAAGGATTTGCAGTGCGAAGCAGTACGTGGCTGATGAGTAAGGATTGCAAAATTGGCCTTGTGCCTCCGCTAACTCCTCAATCACTTGAGGGTAGTATACTAGCAATGGTCTTCCACCCTAGGTAGTGATGGCCTCCAACCTACAAGCTTCAACCTTCCAACTCTTTTCGACCAGCTGTCTTGCACCGATGTCTTGCCCTCCCGACTCCGCGTCTTGCCAGGCGTGCGCGCGCCCAGCTCGGTTCGCATGCGCCGATGACCTGGACGAGAAGGCGCGGGTGAACTGCAGCTGGTCATGGCAAAAACATCCAAAACACTCGTTTCACCCTGAATGACACTCCCTTTTTGTAGCCACTTTTGAGGATCGCCAACTAAACTAAACCTGTTTAGTATATTTCAGTCCAAGAGCGCACAATCCGACAGTTTTTTCGGCTCACCTGGAAGAATCTGGTTGGGGTTTTAGTAGGAGCTTGAATAGCACAGGTCTGAGGCACCGTGAGCCACCGTGAGGCACCGTTGGATGCACTGCATGCATCAAGGAAGTGCTTGAACATGTTGATTTCTTGTTGAAATCAACGCAGAAAAAGTCCTCCACTTCCAGAAAGCTACCTGCGCAAAGGCGTGCCCCACCTTCCTGCGCGCCCCATCTTCCTCGTGACTCGGGCTGGGCGGCTGGTGAGGCAACCTGTGGCCAGTTTCGGGCTTCAGTTATCACATCACTTCGCTCTTCAGCCCTTCCTCGCCTGCACTGGATCTGACTTCAGGCTGTTTCTGTTTTTCGACCTCACCGTCCACGTGCAACTGGTCGGACGAGATGGGCATCGAACAATGGCGGTCAACTGGCTCCGGTCACGTGATCAGCTCCGTGTTTCCAGGGCCGTCTAGGCTGGCCGTCCGTTCTGCCCCGACCTTGAAGGCTCCGTCATCACCGCTCTCAAGTGATGTTCAGCACAAACGCCTAGCAGATTGAACACATGGCCTCAACTTAACCCCGACCGTGTGCTTCCCCCAATGAGTTGCAACTCCAAAGAACCTTGTGTTGCCTCTACTTTCATGTGTTTCATGACTCTGCCAATGGATCAAGCGACAGTAAAATCCAACTCAGCCCAAGGTTGGCATTCAACGGAGCTCAACGTCCGGCCCAAGGTCTGGTTCCCAGCCCTGGCACTAATAACCGATCCAATCCCAAACGTTTAACACAAACTCGCCAGCATAGCAGTGGATTGGAAGGAAGCACCACAGGATGCTCCAGCTGCAAGATGAAAACGTCCAGCACCTCAGGCGGAGAAGCAATAAAGTCTTGTGGGCTTGGTGGCTGGTTGTCTGCATGAGTCTTTTGTAAACAAGAATTAGCCATAATTAAGCGTACATACGGTGATTGTTAAAGCTCTGTTCTAGGGTATCCTGCAAGAGTCTCCAGTGCTCAAAAGGGTTGAAGAAAATGAACCAATGAACGTTCTCTCAGGCTCCCACGGCGGAGTTCACCTTCAGGTTCCGCACCCACCTTGGACTCCAGGATCCACAGCTGAATTGAAAAAGGCCTCCAAACAAGAACTCTTACCGAGTTATAGTGGGCTGACCGCTTGAGTGGAGTGTTTTGCAAGTTGGAATTAGCAATTTTCAGGTTTCAACGCGGAAAAAAAGTCGAAGAAGGGTGCATGGCCTGCTCTCAGAGCAGTGGTTTAGCTTTGCATGTTCCAGGCGTTTCTCACTTGGCGGTAACGCAAGGGACCCACCACTTAGGAGATCCAAAAAGGTCCCCAAAACCGCCCTGAACACGAATCACCTTCCAATCAGCACCCAGCTGTCGAGATCATCGCAAGTTCCTGTCTGCATCCCACCGAGCTTCGGTTTAGAGCTTTTGGGTAAATAATTCAAGCATCCTGCTCTCAAATGCAGAACTTTCCCAGCTGACGAGCTCTTCCCAGCTGAGAAGTCAGCTGACTTCATGCCCCACAGAATCCCGGCTAAGCACGCCGCTTTCCAGCCGCTTGCACCTCATCTTGGATACATATATGTATATAAATTATACATATGTATACAGTATACACATATAGATACGTGATAATTGGATACATCATGATAGAGAGAGATCCAATCAATCATGGGTCAGGATTTAGGCAGCAAGGTCCCTTTGTTTCTTTTTTGTTGGGTCTTGTGAATTGGCCGAGTGTGAGCCAATAAGGAATCAAAACTCTTGAAGGACATGCGACTTTCTTGAAGAGCTGCACATCTCTATGGACTCCTCAGACTACTCCTGACTGTTCTGGAACTGATTCATGGGAGATGTTGGGGGCTCCGCCACTGACCGGATGGGCCATATAGTCCCTAAACAAAAAGAGACAGCCTTTGGAGTCTTAGAGGCCTCAAGTGCCACAAATCCGCAACCCATTGCAAAGCAGTGGTGGGTCAGAAGTGCATGAAATCGTCTCATGGTGAGTTTTGAACATCCAAGAAAATCGTCTCAAGTCATGGAATAGCTGCAAGGCGGACATGGACAAGGACAACTGCGGCGCTGGCCGTGCGATCGTCCAACCATGGGGTCACTGCCTTCAGGCAATGCGAATTCCGAAAGCATCTTCGTAGCCATGAACCATACAACTTGCAAAAGAGTCGCCTCGGGACTCTAAAGTCTAACCTATCCTTTTTTTGACTCCAAAAACTGGGCTCTTTGGGCTGCCGCCGACCAGGCCTCCAACAGCTCATTGGAGTGCCGTGGTTGCCAGGGCGCCCGAGTGCACAAGGTGATGTGCGGCCTGAAGAGTTTGGAGGGAACGATGTTCGTCACAGCTGGGGAGGTGGTTGAGAGAAATCTTCATCAGCCGAAGAGAAAGTGGTGCAATCATCAACCCCAAAAAAACGATGTGACAGGAAAATCACAACCCTCCTTCCCTCTGCTAGTTGACAATCGAAATCTATGGACATCTATCTATATAATGGAAGCCTCAAATATTCAAGTGTGACAACGCCTTCCCCAATTGGCCTATTGAGTCTGTCTGCACCGCGCCCCACGAAGGACGAACTCCAAAAACAGGCGCCTCTGCTGCTCCGCCATGGGCAAGCCATCCGAGACCAACTGGCCTCGATCCACCACTGCGAAGGCTAAGGCGCCTGGCGGTGTGGATCATGATCCACTCGACTGGCAGGGTGTACCAAGTTCAAGGAACACTGACCAAACAGGGCAAACGTGCAAAAATACGCAGGTTAAGCCTGTATCTGCCTTCTACCTCTTGCTGGGTACCACCTGCTTCTAGTGTATAAAAGACAGGTCGAGAATCGGTGCCCGCCCTCTTCACCAGCGTCAACAGCGGGCACCCCCGACAATCAAAGTGGCAAACCACGATCGCACACAGTGGCAACTGGTTCGACTGGCATCAGTTAAATCATTGACAAGACAAGCACGTCTTTTTCCAAAGGCTCGCGGAAAATCCACACCGTTGCACTAAAATGCACTTAAATGACTGAGCAGGTGAAGTCGGAGTGCATGCTTTACATACTGACGCTTGCTACAAAAAGTTGTGGCTTCCTCACTGGTCATAAATTGAGTTACTGCTTCAGCAGCCACATTTTCAATCCAAATGGTTTAGTTAGCTGCCTTAGCATCTCACACATCACTATACCTTAAAATATTCTTATTACACCATTGAAGGTTGGTGTCGTTGGTGTCTAGATCGAGGCGCCAGGGGGGTCAGGAGCACTTGGCTATGTAATGCTATATATACACCATCTCAAGGGTTTGGAAGCACACCTTTGGCGTCTTCCACGAGGAATTTGGTCCTCACGGATTTCAGCCACAGCCTTTTCCGCCGCTTGGCCGTGCTTCGCCACGGTCCTCCGCTTCGCCTATTCCGAGCCCTCAATGGACCTCTTTTCTCCATAGTCAGCACGCACCTTCTGAACAAAACGCTTCACTTGATTAGCGTCAGTTGGATACTTAAAGCCATAGACTTGACCTCAATCGGGCCTTTTTGGTCCCTTTACCAAGTTGCTCTCGTAGGAGCGCATCTTCTCATCCTTTCTCTTCTCTTTCTTTTCATTTGGCTTGGGATATCCACCCTTTTTGACGGCGCTCATTTTGCGAATTGTGGAGCTGATGTCATCTGGTGCCACCAATCACCATACTTGACCTTCAAGCTGCCAGCTGGGTGTTTGTCATGGCCACGCTGAAACACTTCAGACACATGGCCAGACAGCCATGCCTAGTTCGATGAGCTCCACACCTCTACTGAAAGGCATGCAGAATCAACAAAGATCTGTGGAGTTCGAACACCTTTGAGCCACAAACTCAACAACTATGCAATTAATTCCACGCTCCAAGTCCAACCCCATCCCGCACTTCCATGACCACTTCCATCCCTTAATGACTCCGTTTCGCAGTGAGGTTTTTCAACAGCTCCGGTTCCCGCCGATCAACTGCACATCCGCTCGGACCTCGCCTGGTGCTCCGACTAAATGTGTGATGCGCAAATCAAAGGCTTTCCCTCGGCGCGAATCGGCATCGATAGACATGGCGAACTCGGCTTGGCTTGGTGCATTGGAGTCACACCACATCACCATCACTAAACATCTAAGCTAAGCTAAGCAGCTGTTCGGATTAACTTTGAGGTCGTGCGAACTTTCTGGCTTGCCTTCGTGGCATGCCAGACCTAGAATTCCCTTCTGACCTTACCAAATTGGTGAGAACCAAGTTACTCACCTGAGACATGACATCGAACATCAAAAGTGAGTGCCCATTCTGACTTGTGGTGCGCTTCACTTCTCCCGCTAGCACTCGAAGGACCCCCCCTCACCCTAGACATAATATGTATTACACGCAATCCATAATCATATGGACATAGACTATATATCATGATTGATATTAATATATACATTGAATATGCCTCCTGGATCCTCATGGCCCTGGCATTTCAGGGCTCGTGCACCACCCTATTCGTGTCCACATCTCTCCACCAAGCCACCCTCCAAAACCAACGCCTTCGACTCCGCCACCACCTTCCGCCACTGCGCCGCCTCCGCCGCCCCGGCCGCCCCGCCCAGGTAGCACGTGGTCACGTGCTGCGCCGCCGGGCGCCGGAAGGACGCGAAGAGCTCGCTGAGCTCGTCGCCGTCGGAGCGGAGGTCGGCCACCGCGTGCAGCGCGGCGGAGGTCTTCTCCAGGAGCGACTCCAAAAGGGGATGATGGGCATGGACATCCAGCGCCACGTAGCGGAGGGCGGGAGCAGAGAAGCCTGGAGTTGAGAGTTTTGTTCTTGGAGTGATGGGGCGGGTGAAGAGCCAAGAGCCTTGTGTTGGTAGTAGATGCTAAGGTCGAATCAAAGACATCGACAAACACTAGGATACTAGCCTGAGGACACCCTTGTCTACCCTCATCCTTCTTTAGCTTCACCCACTGCAGCCGTGAAGCCCGGTGTAGTCATGGACTGCTCCTCCTCGACCAGCAGCTCCGGCCAAAGCGCGTCTAGGCATCGCTCCTGGTGCTGCCTCTGCACCCCTGGGTCCACGGAGCGCAGTCCCGGCGCACGCAGTTGTGTCACCAGGGACTGGAGCAATGGTCGGAGCTGCTGCTGGTTCTCCTGAACCGGGTGGAAGGTCTGAAGGAGACTTCCGACCTCTTCCGACCGAGTTGAAACAAGAGGAAGCCATGGGTCGACATCGCAGGTGGGAGCTTCGGAATCGGAGAATTTGGTGGTGAGAGCTTCGATTTCAACCACAGCTTCATCCGCATCGGCAGAACATCTGCGTGCCAGACTTGATGGTCCAAGGTCCAAACGAATCACTCCAAATCAGCTAGGTCTCGAAGGGCTTACGCATCAGGTCCAAGGTTTGCCTCAACAAGGCGCGCACTTCCAGCCGGCACCACATCCATTCCTCCGTGCTCCTCGTCTCAACGAAGGCCGAGGCCGAACGCAGGCCACAAGGGCCAAACAAGTGCACTTACAATAGTCCGTTTCTCCCCTACTTCAGTAAAGGAATCACGAATTGCCAATGAACAAACATAATTTGTTTGCGTGGTTGAAGGATGTTGAAGTTCTAAGACCCCAAAGAAACCCCGGCACCGGCGTTGCCCACGGTCCACTAAACACCATACGTCCGAATGTATCTCCACCAGCCATCACCAGCTCACATAGATTTCAAACCCTTCCGAGGCCAAACCTAAGCTCCACCTGCGCACCACTTCCGACACCACTTCCCCGGTCAAGACCCGGTCTAGCTCCCAAGTGTCCCCGCAAAGGAGGCCAAGTTGGCACAGGTCGAGACGTAGGGCACCTGAAGGACTGGAAACTTCAAGTTGGCGGAGTTGAAGCGCTGGTGGAGCTGAAGGAAGCTCAACAGGACGAAGAGGGGCGTCTCACCTTCCGCACCGGACGCTCATAGGCGCGCAACACCGCGGGCCAAAGCGAAGAGGAATGTCAAGTGGCACAGAAGTTGAGAATTGTGGGGAAACCTGTGCTGCTGGCGAATGCCGGGGTGCCCGTGCTCACCTGTGATAGTTTGGCGTTCTGAGCCAAAAAGTAATGAGAGGCAGAAGCGTGCACGAAAGATGGTGCCCTATATATTGGTCAAAGCGACGGGCTGTTGAAATCCGGCCACTCTCATTATAAAAGCTTGTTGGCCCGTTCATGCCCATTCTGTGACGGCGCTTGGAGGCATTTTTCGTGCTGCTATCAAATCAGTGTTCTGCAATCATATTGGGACATATTGGGACTGTGGCAGCTGTCATGTATTTTACTCTCCTGTTGCAAGTGTTGCTCGGGCAAAGGGTAAACATGAGAATTGTGGGAGGCCCCACCAAAGATTGAAACCATGTCCACAACATCATTACCTGAAAGTGGGTTCGTTCCAGCTGTTGGGGACCCATGCTCCCTGCCAAACAGTACATCCCAAAACCCTCCCAAAAGGGGATTCTAAACTTTGCTCCAAAGTGTGAAGTGTCGTCAAACATGAGGTGGAAGTCACCCAAGTGTGCAACTGCCCTCCCAGCCCTCCCCTCCCCCAAAAAATGAAGCACATTCTTCTTCACCATCCCACCATCCGAACCCCAACTCAGGTCCCAGTCGCTTCCCGTCAGGGTCTCGTGTTGCGGGCGCTTCAGCAGCCGGGCAGCACACTCCGCCAGGACGTCCAGGCTCCAGGGGTAGTTCCAATCGCCGAAGTGGCGCTCCTCAGCACCTTCGAGGAGACAGGTGCTGACCCCCACCGAGCGGCATGACGGTGAACATGACAGGAAGGACGAAAGCGTCACCGATTTGGCGGCACAGAATGTTCCCAACGATCACTCAAAAACATAGTATCCTAATATATAGCTGTTCTTTGTTTTGTAGATGTTGTGCTGGCATCTGCAAGGAGATGCCAGCATCTTAGAAGCTTCCTTTATCAACAGCCAGGTCACCCAACAGCTCCACTTCCACCTCCGACATCGCCGGAGCATCGGCCCCTTCGATGGCCAAGACCTTCGGCAGCAGGCGGCAGCCGAAACTCTGGCAGGTGACCTGAAGCGCCTCCACCTCTTGACGGATGCCCGACGGTGGGTGGTTCCTTAGGAAGCGTAAGCCAAGCAATGAACCCTTGGTCTTCAGCGATGAGGTCAGTGACTTGCACCCCCGGAATTTGCGAAGCTCCGTCTTCCTAGCTCATATGATCACCTGTCCTAAAAGAGTCTCAGGTCGGTCCGATTTCAGAGTTCTCTCCGAGGCGCTTGTCCAGCAGCAGCAAATGTGGCCCCTCTGCCGTGGCCGCCGCCACGAACTCTTCCACCGCCACCCGATAGCGCTCGCTGGCACGTTTGCGGGCACGGGCCACGTCCTGCCGGGCTCAAGGAGGGACCACCGTGTGAACGCAAAAAGCGTACACAAAAGTAAGATGAATGAAGTGAGTCACAGTCTCAGATTTTTTATTGAGATCAATTTGGCATCACGTTCGATATTGAGCTACTGGCCACACTTAGAAGCAACCCACACGAGACAAGTCATCGTTTGTTCAGTCTCCTCCCAACCTAGACCCTTCAAAGCGAACGCATCACTTTTCTCGGGATGCCATAGGCATGGGGGCATGACACCCTGAGTCTGGTCAAAATGATCAGGCAAAGCTTTGGTGGCGAAACCCCGGTTCCGAACGGTTATCTCTTCACGAGGCCGTAACAGAACACTTGGTGACCAAAGACCTGAGCAACTGGAATTCACTTCCGGAGTACCCAGGCCCCTCACTTCGCACAAGAACATTTTAACCACTCACAAGACAGGGTTGCGAACGAGAGCACTCGGCCAACGAGCAAGGACCGTCTTCCAGCCGACGTGTTCACCACGCATCAAGTCATCTCTCGAGGGCGCATCAGCCGGATTGGCATCTGTTGCGACCCGATCTATGAAGACTCGAATCTGGAGCTCTCGAACAAGATCCCAAAATACCGAAATGAGCAGGCAGAGATCTTCTCTTGAAGAATACCCTTTTATCAAGGCCGACTCAACGACTTCGGAATCTACGAAAAGTAAAAGGTCTGAAAAACGAAGGCGATCGGCAAAAGTGGTCAAACTCACGATCGGTGCAATCATCTCCACTGGAATGATCTGCGTCTTTCGAACAAGCCACGTCTCCTTCAGCCTCTGTGGAACGACCTCAGTGAACTGAAGAGGATCCATGGACCTGCGATCAAAAAGAACAGCACCTACCCGATCGGGTTTCACATCGACTTTTGTGGGGTCAGGGGAGAACCCATCCGTGAACAGGACATCGTCTGCTCGTTTGTCTGCACAGAAATCGATCGTCCTGGGTGGACCCTCACGAATCAAGATCAGCCACTGTTTGAGCGACTCTTGCAAAGGTCTGTCCAAAGAGAAACGATCGTTTACCGACACTCGAGCGTACTGTCTTTCCGAGATGGTCCTAAGAAAAGCCCTCCCCGTCTTGCCCCAAAGCTGGCTGGCTCCAAACATGAGCTTACCTTTTAGCTTGCCAGCATGTCCTGGATCCAGCGTTCCCGAATCAAGGATTGCTTGCAGCTCTTCAACGAGCTCAGTCTTTCGATCGGCCTTAATCTCCAGGATCCAGTCGTCTAGATTATATGTCACACCGAGAATGGTCGGACGAGAGGTCAGTTGCAGCTTCTTGGCACCAAACCTTGCACCCAACATCCAGTGAACACTGACAGACGTCTGGAAAGCCGATTCGATCGATTCGACTGGCTCGAACCCATACTTGTCGTCATAAAAGTTGAAGGCTATGAGATTGAACAATTTCAGAAGAATTTCGTTGATAGCAGCCGAACGGCGGTTGTAGTTGTAAACTGCCGAAACAAGGCCGAAGGAATGACCAACCATGATGAAGAACACTGGTACACCTCGAGAGGGGTCCTTCAAGCATATGACACTGAATTTACGATGGTCAGGGCGAATGACCACTTGTCGATAGGCCTTGCGCTCGTCAAGTACCCATCCGGCCAGCTTCGAATCAGGCAGAGCCGATCTGAGACACCTGAGAGCCACCACGTTCACATCAGTCGAGGGCAATTGCAATTTTTCAGTGATCACTGTTGTCTGGTTGATCAAGTTAGTGGTGGCGCTGTCGCACCCCCAAACCTTATTCTTTTGAACAACTTCAAATCTCTGGGTTGGGATCCAATCATCACACTTCAGGAAGTTCGAAACCTCTTGACAAGAACCGAACGGCCCAAGGGTCGAACCCTCCTGAACGTCCTCCAAAGTGGCGTCCCAAATCTTCTTTAAGTTATCCGACACCGGGACACCTTGCGCTCTAGAGACAATTTTTGAACGAATCTCCCAGGCCCTTGAACAAGCATGTTGAACCGAAACTGTCTGTTGGGGCTTGTCGAACGGCGGCCAACGACGCGAACGAGCAATTGGACCAACGATCGGAAGCCCTTGCAGTAGAAGATCCGGTAGGAACCTGTCGATCGAGTCGCAGGCTTCCAACATTTCGTAGTACAGAGCAACGTGACAACAGGCGCCGAGTTGGCACGGTTGATCATCCGGCACTCCGCGAAGCAAGGTCCTCAGCGCCGGATCCGAAACGGCCCGGAGCAAACGATCGGTCGCAGGCAAAAGTTCGAAAGCCCTGGCCTCCCACTTGGACAACACTGTCATGCGAGTGGCCACAACAGAAGACACATTCTGAGCTAAGTTGTTCACTGCACGCTTCATGTCTTGATCAAGTTCGACCTCCACACTCAATGGATGTGCAATCTGAAGTGCCCAAGCGATAGCTACCCCGGGTTCCGTTTCGACATGGTGCAGTGGCTTAAGAGCACCACGTTTGAGCTGGTAGCCTGAGGCCTCGGCCTTCAGTGCTGAGAGGGCCTGACGATGCTCCTTCCAACGGAGTGGTTGCCCGAGCGGGCGCTTTCTGCTGGGGGTGGAAACTCTGCATGAACTGAAGGCCACGGTCCGGCCAAATCAGCCGCACCGCTTGTGCAAAGCGTTGACAAAGCTGATCCGGATAGACTTGTGCCAACTTCGTGCGAAAAACGAGCTTCTGAAAGAACTCAGACCACACCTTACCTTTGAGCACTTCATGCACATGAGATCCATCACAACGAACTGTCAATGCGAGCAGGCAAGCATGCGACACAAGTAGGGTCGTCGGCTTCATGGACGGAGCCCCAAACATGCACTGATCAAGCTCAACCAACCACGCACGGGCGCGCCGAAGCAACGAGCGAATGGCCGGCACTTGCCAGAGCAAGCTCTTAAGGGGGTTCTCGATTGAGAAATCGCCACCTCTGGTGAAGACTGCCAAACATGCTTCGACAGACCTTGCAACGAACAAGTTCCCCAAGAACACAAGGGCAGCATTCTCAGCCGAAAGTGAGCTCAGACCCAGCGGCTGGGCCGCCGAGCGTAGAGGGGGTGGCCCCCCGTCAGCCTTACGAGCCGCTGAAAATGTGTTACATGGCGTGCCACAATGGACGAAACGAACCGCTCCTGCACAGATCAACTCCATGACAAACGACCATCGAGCTTCATCAAGGCACTTCCGAGCAGATCGTAACATCGATCGGTGGCAAGGTGGGCACACCACAAGCACGCATGGCCTTGGTGAGGCTGGCAGTTCCTGAAAAGATCTCCAAGAAGAAAGGTCCGGCTGCACACGCTTGAGCGACATCTCTGGGCACGTCAACCCATGACAGCCAAGGCGAGCAAGAATCAGACACTTTCAGTTCTGGATCCAAAACTTCATGCTTGTCCGGCGGCTCGACCTGTTGTGGAAGAGGGGGCTGAGCCGGGGCCCCCTCTTCTCTTCAAGCAGTGCTTCAGTGGTTCCCGTGCCACGAGTGCTCCTTGCCGCACTCGACGCACAGATGAGCACTCTTACACTGATCACCAAAGCGACAGCCTAACGAACAGTTGAACCAAGCACACCGTTTCTTCCCTTGGTATTTGAACGATCGAGTTGATCTTGTTCCACTCTGCAGCTGGGGCGCGAGCGTCCTTCTTGGAGTGATCCTTCTCTGAACGAGCCTTCAGATGGTCACGAGCAGCTTGGAGAGTCTTCTTGGCTCGGTCACGTCGAGCTTTGTTCTTCTTGGCCCGAGTCGAGGGCGACTTCTTGGTCGGCGACTCCGAGCGATCACGTCGGAAATTGTTTGCGCTGATCAGCGTTCAAGCGATAGACTTTCTTCCGAATCAACGAGTCAACGGACAACAGCAGGACCAAGCCATGATGATCATGCCTCCATTCTTCAAGTTCCGACAGGTAACGTAAGGGACCTGCCGCATGTGAAAAGTCACAAATGTTGAGGTACTCAAGAGCAACAAAGAAGGCATGCAACTTATCCATGACATGTGACTCGGATGCTGCAGCAGCGGGTTGATCAACGGTCACAACACGAATCAAATCCTCAGCATTCTTAGTCAGACCACTCTTTTGGACGATCGTCTCACTTCGGGTGCGCATCTCGCCAACCTCGTAAAAGGGCACAGAACCGTGCACGAGGAAGTCTCTTTGCAAACGTTCGACTAGCTTCCGATGAGGCTCACGATGGTGCGGCAAGAGAACGTCCGGATGTCTGACCACGAACTGCTCGCGAAATTCTGCATGATCATCGCCTGGGATTTCAGGAACCTTCGAGGGATCCTCCTCCATCTTTGCCCGACGGGCGGCGAAGTGTTCTTGCAGAGATGAACATGTCTTCCAAACAGCTGCAATCGAGGTCAGAGCTAACTCCTGTTCACCTGCAGATGCTCCAAGAAGGGCATCGTCAGCCACGATCGTCCTGACAGAAGCCTTCACTGCAGCGATAGTATCTCCGAGCATAGCAAACGCCTCGACAGTCAGGAGCTTCTTGTCCGCGAGCAGCCTACACAAGGTCTGAGGCAGTCTTTGTCGGCCAAAAATCTGGCACAAGGCCAGCTCGGGCATAGCATCCGCTGCGTAAGTGGTTCGATCGACCATGGCTTCCTCTCACCCAGTGTCCCATGAAAAAGAGTTCGAGCATGAAAAACTCCGATCGCACAATATTCCGTGCGTCCGGCCCAACGAGTCCCCCCTCACACGTACTGAAACATGCCTGGGAGGCCTGCTCCAGGTGTGGGTGGCGCCGAGCGCGTAGACACCTGATGGAATGAGGCGACCTCAGGACGAGCCTTGGCGCACGCTTTGCAGAGCACGCTCTCATCTGGCAACAGATCGCCCGCAGACGAGCAGTCCAAAAGAGCGAACTTGTTGCAAGCGGTGAACTCTTCGTTGTCCCGTGAAGTACAGTGAAACTTGTATTCATAGGACGAGCCGGCGCTAGGCTTCTTGATGAAGTATTCGACCCCGTGCAAGTTCGAGTCTGGTGCATCCATGAGCAGTGTCTCTGAATCTTCCTGACCTGGATGACTTTCCTGAACAAGGTCTTTCACGAGCTGCTTCACCATCAGAGCCGGAACTGACGAGCGGTTCCGTGTATACTTCAGGACGAGTGGTTCTGGGTTTTTCCAGTTCGCCTGGAGCCCAATCTCTTCAGTTGTTCTTCCCGCATGAACAGCGGCATCTAACAGCGTCACCCTACATGAATGCATGGTGAACTTAGAGATGCTAGTTGCACAACGAGACTGAGTAGTCTTGCCGAGGTGAGACGAACCGTCCACAGCTTTCCGGCTCAAAAACTTCATCCACTGCAACGATCGTGTGAAAGAAGGAGGCTCCATTCTGAAAGTCTGCTGTGTATTCAGCTCAGGCATCCAAAAGTCACGATCGGTTTCAAGGTGGGATTGAAAAAGAGCCCACCCAGTTTCCAACCATGAGGCGTCTCGGAACCCGACTTTCGGAACGACGAACCGAGTCCCTACCTTCTTTCTTTCCACTTTTGTCTGCCAAGCCACTCCGAACAGGCCTTCATCTGCGAGATGCAGTTCACGCGGCTTCACATGGATCCCGTCATCGAAACGCAATGAAGCGAAAATCAAACATAAGACCCACCACATGAAAAGCCTGGCCGCTTCGGGGTTGGCCCGTGACACCACAAACTCCTCCACCCTCTTTGAGGGTCTTTGCACGATCGCTCATCACCGATGCCTGCAGCGCCTGAAACTGATGGGCCTCGAAGTCCGGGGAGTCGATCGCGAGTCGCGCGCAGACCCATGCACTTCACTGCAGCTCGAAGGGTTGGGAGAACGGAAGGTCCACAAAAACGATCGTTCAAAAATAAACAATACTTCAAGATCTTGTCCATGGTCAGGGGGTAGAGAGGCACGTCCAAAGCCCCAAACCACCTTTCCAGACGCTCGAACGTCTTGATGTGACCAGCCATAGTCCTGTGAGCTCCAGAAACTGGAACAAGATTCCTGAGCTGCATCTTTTCTCCCTGAGAAAGGTTGGGGCCGAGTTGGGCGTCCTCGAACAAGCGAGCATGGTGCCCTGCTCTCTCCCCGATCGCCTCCAGCCTAACAGCCCACCTCTTCTTCTCCGACTTCTCTTTGTCGAGCAGTGGAGTTGAAGAACTTGAGGAACTCTCAACCGTAGCCTTGGATCGTTTCGGCTGAGCGAACGGCTTGGCTGTGAGGTTGGCGATCGCCGCCCGCTTCTTGAGGGAGGCCGAAGGGTCCACTGAAGGAGTGCTCGAAGATTTCTCACAAAGACCAAACCCTAGCTGAACAGCTGTAGATTCAAAGTAGGCTTTCTCCACAGAGATCGAGAGGGTCCAGAACTGTTCTAGCATGAGCTCACGTCCTTGGAACACTTTCGAACCGCTCTCCTCGAACGATCCTGCCAAATCGAACACCTTCTGGGCGAACTGAGTCCCTGAAGTGGCCTCAAGAGCAGTGACGAAGGCGAGCGAGTTCAGCGGGGTCTTCTTAACCGAGCGGGCGAACTCCACATCAAAGACTGGTAGATCGAGGATCCTCGAAACCCAGCGATCGGTCTGCTCAGCCATGTGTTCGAGCCCGGTCCGTCTTTGAGCCTCAACACTAAAGGTTGAGAAACCTTGTTAGGACCATGCCCTTCGCGGGCTCAAAGGTTCTTTGGTTGCCCGCTCACCCACCCAGGGTTGCACGAACGTGAACACTACTGAAACGACAAAGCGACAGCGAATTCAAACGAACGTGCAACACTCCGAGAACAGGCAAAAGGACATGAACTGAACTAAAATACATAATCTGAACAACACTCAAATAAACAAACAGAATTAGATCAGGGAACCCCATCAGGCCACGAAAGGGCCGGCTCCTTGTAGTCGAATGCTACAAGTGCGAGCACACCTTCGGGCGAGCGGGCCCCTGAGTTCACACAACCCACACCGCACTGGGGGATCTGACCTCGCGCGAAAGGCAGTGCCAGACAATGCGGCGTTGCCCGATCGGCGTGATCCGGTGTGGTTGCACTCACTGAACTGAATGATCTAAATGATATGAACAATAAACTGTTCTCAGTTTCTGAACGCACAGCTGCCCTTCGCGGAAAAATTTTTCAGCTGTACGGATTCCGAGCGAGTGGTGATCACCTCTCGCTAATTTGAGTCATTCAAAAAGGATCCAGATCACACATCTGTCTGCGGATCCGGCTTTGGAGGAGCAAAAGATCTGGGCCCGGCGCCGCTCGACTGATCAGGCAACTCAACCACCTCTTGGATCCGGACTCTTGAAGGTTCGTTCCATGCATTGGGCGGTGGTGCCTTGCGAGCAGCTTTGACGAAAGCTTGGGGCGTCATCGCCGAGCAATCCATGCCCTCAGATCTCCTCTGCTCCAGCGAGCGTCGTGATGGCGCTAGAGCACCTCCTGACCAAGAACTCGGCGGCGGTGCCTTTCCCGGCGCTGTCACCGATGGCTTCACATTGCTGATCGGCACGGCTGAAAAAGCATCGACCGGAGTGGGCCCCACCAATGCCGGCGGTAGCTGAGGAGCTGCTGCCTTTGGCTGCACCGAAGGGCCATCAACGATCGGAGGCACGATGCCAGCGACCACTTCATCGAGCGGGTCATGGCTCTGCAAGGCCAAGGCCTCAGCATTCACGATCACACGCTCCATCTTGAACAGAGGGCTCCGAGACGAGGTGCACGTTGATCGGGTTGCTCTCCACTGCGATGGCAGAGATGCGAGGACCTGTCTCCTCCTCGGTCGGCGCCTCAATCTTTGACGTCCAATTGGCATGAACAGCCGCCAGCTGAGCCAGTTGCAGCTGTTGATCAGGACACTCAACTCGGGCACCATGATCACGACACCATCGAGCGTTTCGGATCAATGTCGGACCCGAAATTCGGCTGAAAACCAGCCACGTGGGTGGCACCATGGCCGTGCTGGCCGACATGTCAAGGCGATCGCCAGCTGATAGGAATCTGGTCTCCAGACGATCTGCATCGGCGCCCAAAGAGTCAGGGGACGCCGTCGCTACGAACCGAAGTTCGAAGTGGCATAGTGGATAATCCAGAGCCACAACAATACCTCCGTCCGAACATGCGTAAAGGCGACCGCCAACTTCCCACGACACTGCGACCACTCTCCAGCCCTGAAAGATGGTGACGACCACGCTCGGGATGAACACCGTGTCCGCCAATACCTCCTGGATCGTGTCGGCGATATGCCACAACTGGACCGAGAGGTCAGAATCAGAGCGATAGCCCCTGAGCTCAAGGTGCACCAGAACATGGCCTTCCAGCTTTACCTTCACGTCCATCCATGAAGGGCTCGAATCAGTCATAGCCGGCCATCTAAATGGCTGAAAAGCCGCATGCGACAGCACTTCTCCCGTGGCAGCATCCCAGCGAGCGCATGGCACGTGAGAGTAGCATGTCATCGAACCAGTCACAATGACCTTGACTGAATCTAGAGTCTTCACCATGAAGAGGTTGAAGTGGTATCCACTGGATGGCGAGCGCACCAAATGTCGATCAGACTTCAAGTTGACAAAACTCAGGGCATTGGTCAACACCTCATCGAGCAGCCAATTCTGGAATGGCGACTGGATCCTTTTGTCCCTGTTGTCAATGATCAGGATGGAGCGCTCACCCTCTGCTGAACCAATCTGTGAAAGTTTTGATCAGGCAGCTGAGAGTTTAGTGGGTTGTGGGCGAGATTGCCCATGTTCCCCGATCGAAAAGCTCTTCTTCCTCTCCGAGCGGCTTGCTCCTGTTGACGTCTCAACCTCCTTGAGGCAGGTGTGTCATGAGCATGGTCAACAAATGAGTGAGCAGCTTGCAAGACTGGAGCGGCAGGAGCTGACGGTGGAAACACTGTAGGAGGAGGGGGTGGCACATCACTTGATGAAGCACCTTGGGGTGCAGGATCCGCCTGAGTGGGAACATCATTCTCAGGCACGGTCGGCATGGTCGAAGCCGGTTCCTCCTGGCGATGGCCATCCCCCTCAAGATCAACCCAAGAGCCAGATGAAGAACCATCGTTCCAGCGCGATGAGGCATTGAGCATCTGCCGAGCGAAGGCTGCTGGGATCCGGCTCTCAGACATTGCGGCGAACACCCAGGCCTAAGAGAAAAGCTTCAACGTGCTCAAACCTGGCGTTCGCCGCACGTCTCTCGCCAAAATGGCAGCGTCGTACGACGAGTGATATCTAAAAATTCATTAATGAAAAATCTTCAATTGAACAAGGAAACTGAACAGCTTGCTATTAAGTGGCTTCCATGTTCCAGCCAACCTACCGACAACAAGGAACCATCATCAGAAAAGAACTCCTAAAGTCCTAAAGCATATGTTTATATCAATAACTCTCATAACTTCATGCATTTAGCGCTTTTGGGGCTTGCTGATTTGGGAGTGCACTCCGCTGAGATCAAAAAGTCAAACATCAACGCGCCAGCCGAACCAAGCCAACTGCAGCGAATAGGTTTCGAATGGTGTCGATATGTTTCAGTGATGTAAAATTATACACCTCCCTCTCTACACAACGCCTTTGCACAAAGGATCTGCTACATTACTTTCAGCACTTCAGCCAGCAATCCCCAAATCAGGTGAGGACTGGTTTCTCCTTCAAACAGGTGAGGCGGATCCGACTCCTGCGAGGAGCACTCGTTGGCAGTCAGGCCCATGGACTTGAGTTCCTCCCCAGTGAAGCCATCACCTTGGACAGTTCCGGTGCCCTGATTTTGCTTTGATCGTCGCAGTTGAGGTCTTCATGTCCGAAACCTTTTGCTGAAAACAGGTGCAACCATAAGTATGGCTAGTAGCGATGCCCTTGTGACTAGTAGCTTCTTGTTCTAGTAGTAATGCCAGGAGCTCCTGGTAGCTTCTTGCTCCCAGTTGCGCAAAAGAACTATATAAGTTCTTCCAACGTTCACGTGATTTGTTGTTGGATTTGTTGGCCAGTGGTTGCCCACACTTCACCAATAACAAGTGGCTCAAGGCCATCTGGAAGCCTGTTGCGTTTGGTCAGGGTGCCGTCGGCTTGTGCATCATCTGTCGAGCATACGGCTTTGTTGCCAGGCAGTAGCATGGAGAAAAGGGCAACTCTCCTGGATTCAAACCGCCATCGCACGTAGCATGCTTTGTTTCAAGGCAAGTTCATTACTTCCAAGCCCAGGCAGGTGACTCATCTTCTATGCTCTGCCTCCTGATCTCCTTCGGATTCCGCTCCGCCCACCACGACGACCACGACCATCCCCCCGTCCCAACGCGTCCCAGTCACTCGACACGAGGGCCACCGAGCTGGGAAGTGGCCCGACCGAACTGGTCTCCGAGCTGGTCGAGGCCGGCCTCAACGGGCGCTGGAGCCCGAAGCCGGGGAGACCGCGGTGAACAGCGGCGTGGATGAAGTGGTCAGCAGGTGCCGGTGTCAATAGGCCCAAAAGCAAAAAGAAGGCGATTATTATATAGAGGTACAATATTATAGTATATTAAAATGCATACCTAAGTTAAATTTGATGATTGTGATGATCACTATGAACCTACGTGCTGCATCACTCTGGACCCATGTTTGCCTCGTGCGGAGTTCTTTCTGGAAAAAAGTTGTGGCAACAAAACACGTCAAGTACCAGCACTTAACCACATCAACCACCTGTCCAAGCCAAAAAGAGTGCTGATCAGTCTCAGCCCACCTCATCTTCCCCGAACCCCGCGCCTCCCCTGCCGATAGCACTTCACACCTGATGCCTGACACCGCTGAAAGATGCCTTCCAGCAAGGAGCTCTTTCCCATTCCCGGCAGTGCCACCGGAATCACGGCCACAAGTGTGGGCGTCCGGGCACGCCGCGCCGCGTCCGCGGCACGCTCACGCGGAGCGTCCAGGCGGCCCCAGGCCGCTTCCACTGCGCTGGCCACGCTGGACATGTGGGATGTGGAGATGACTGAAGTGGAGGGCCACCAAAATGTCTGGGAGGAAGGCAGCATGTTCTTGAGGCGATGGGCTTGTGCCTCAGGATGGAAGGCATTCACTCTTGGTGGTCCAATAGATTGCTTGACGGGTTGGAGGTGATGGGGCTGGGGGTGATGATATACCGTACTTGATTCTTATCTACCCAAACGGTTGTACAATCTGAATCTGGAACGAAACCTCTTCCAACCACCACCTAAATGTTGTGATCTACATGGTGCCTACAATGACAAGGCTGAAGCTTAAATGACCTGGTGCCGCTCCACTCTTTTTTATGGTGCGCACCTGCAGCTTTCCAAAGAACACCCGGGCAGCTGCGCCGTCTGTGACCCGCCGGCGCTTCCTCAATCGGCGTTCCAAGGGCGACCCTGGCAGCTGAGCGGAGGCCGAAGCATCCAGCGAGGTGGCTAGGACATCGTCCCAGCCGCAGAAGAGGAACCTGGGCTTCGTGGATGGATGGTCACTACAAAACACACACACACACACAAACATATTTTGTTTGGAGGGGAGCCCAACTACCTATAGGCAAGGCAATGTCAACCGGACGCTTCTTGCGGGCCTTTGTACGATGGACAAAGGAAGTATGGCACGTATACCAAGAATAGGGAAGAACGCTCAACGATATCACCCCAGAACATCATCAGTCAACCAGAGACATCCAAATTCCGACACAAATGGTTCGATTCATTCTCCCAAGCATCACACACCGCTGGCTCACGGCATCGGCCACCCGCAGGTCGCTCGACGCGCGGCGCTCGACGTCAGCGCGGCGCCGCTTCAGCGCGGCGGAACCGCCGCTGGGTGGGGCGAAGAGAAGGGTCTCAAGCTGGGCGGGGATCTGGTTGAGGTACACCTCCAGGCTTGGCGGGGATCTGCGTCGCCAACTGGATGTGGTGTTTTTAAGCCAAAGGTTTCTTTTTCCGGGTGATGGAGGATGGATCAGGTAGTAGACCCAGTGAGCGGATCACATGGTCAGGAGTCAGAAGTGAATGTTTTTGAAGTCAGCAAGGTAGGCGAATGCCAAAGTCGTCTGTTGATTGTGCAAGATCACTGTGGACACCGCTCTAGCTACCGGCTACGCTGGTGTTTTTCGCCCCCACATTCCAAACGAAAAACATCAGGCACCACTTCGGGCCTTCGCGTGTGATGCCGTAGAACTATGCCAGGCTGCTGCTAAGTTCTCTCTATGCAAGGCTTCCGGCAGTGAGACCTGCCCTGTGAGCTGACTGCTCTGCTCTGTGACACCTGCTGCACCGCTGTGACTCAGCTCTCGCTTCTCCAGCTGGATTTGCAAAAGCTGACAGGTCTCTGCTTTCAATTGAAAAGGTGGCGCCACCACGCCTCGGTGACTCGATTCCCAGGCACCGCTGAGGCGCACCGGTGTCAAGTCTCAGCCTATCTCAGCCTAATTACTTACCCACATGTGTCCTACGAATGTCACCTCCAAGCCACACAGCAGTGGCGCTGGCTTTCGTGGCCCACGAGGCACGGCGGCACCCTCATCGCTCTCCCTCGCGCGGCTCAGCAGGTCCAGGAAGTGTTCATCCACCTCCTCGGGTGGCAAATCCTCGGCGAAGATCAGACGGCACAGCCTCAGCGATCCACCCGGGCTTCGAACGGCCCGTTGCAACCACCACATTCACGGTGGGTGGTTGCGTGGCGGAGGTGTCCTCTCTCTCTCTCTCTATATATATATATACGGTTGACATCGCGTGGAACGAAAAAGAAGGCCCTACCCATCCCTACCCCATCTATAGTCTCAGCTGCTTTTGTATGAAGACATCTGGCAGCGTATTCTGAAAACTGTGCGATCTATCTGACTATCTTGATCCATACTTCACGCCCGGTCGTTTCCAATGTCAATCATCCCCAAACATGTGAAGCGACCCAGCTCGTAGCATTCCACCTGTTAGGGCCACTGCGATCGCCAAATTCGGCCAAGCCGCTTACCCAGTCCAAGTGAATGGTTCTTCACCACTTCCTCTGAGACATGCGCATTGTAACGTGCTTCGCGTTCAAAGTCCTCTTGGACCTCCTCAACCAGCACGCATCCTGGCGAGGATTGCTGGAAACATGCATGAAAAAGCGCAAGAAAACACCGATTCCCTTCAAAAGCACAATATTGCACAATATGCACGTCACCTCACAATGAATCTGAATCTAATATTGTTGAACCAGCCGAAAGGGTTGCAAGCCCTGGCGCATCACACCTCCCTCCCACTACTCCGCAGCACACTTCGCATCTCCTGCACTTCGAGCGAACTGCTTCGCCCTGTCGCGCATCCGCCGCAGGAGTCGATACTCTGCTGTCTTCAGCTTGCCCAGGTGGATGACCTTCTCTTCCTCAGCCTCCTGGAGGATGGGGGAGAAGTTCCCGTAGAACACTGGAAGTTGCAAACATCCTAAACACGAAGATGCACTATAGTTCGCTACTACTTGGCGCAACATAAATCGCAGCCGCAGCCTGTCAGGTCTTGGTTTGACCAACAAATCACTGAAACACAAGCCTCACGGCCTAACATAGCGTATACATAGCGTATACTCCATGCCATGATTAGTCTAAGGCCCTGCAAGGCCATGCACCACAGCCATCCACAGCCCTTCCCTCCCGGCCCATCGGATCCGTCCTTGGGCGTCGCCGTCACGTAGATCACGGCGCCCTCCCCAGCGTCCGCCACCGGCGCCGCCTCCACGGCGGCCGCCAGCGGCGCCAGCTGCGCCAGCAGCGCTTCGCCCTTGGCCGCGCGCAGCGGGGGAGAGGCGGCAAAGTCCACGGTGGGTAGACCTCAAAACGACGGCTGCTTGGAACGAGCGAAGGCTTCATCCAATCAAGGCTTCGTGCAGAACGGTGCCGGTGAAGCACGGTGCAATGGTCTGACTCAAGAGTGTTGAGTGGGTAGTTGCGTGGACCAACCTGAGGATTACTTTCAGATCTTTTTCAGGCAGGGCAAGACGAGGAGGCTCTGGCTGTTTCCAAAGGCATCGAGATTCTGTGCGGGCCCGGAGTCCAAACGGCAAATGTGGCATGTTCCGGCTTCTTGAAGTGTGATAAGGTTTCATGCTTTCATTTCTCCATGTCCAATTGGATCCAATTGGCAAATAGATCACCTCAGGATTTTTTCTCGCTGGACGAATGCCGGAAGTCAGTCGGATCTGCAGCGCTGCGGATGGCGTTTCAGGGGAAAGGGGAACTGGGAAGGCCATTTCTTCGTTCTTCGTCTTCTGCCTGCGTAGTCCTGCTTCAAAGTGGACTTCAGTCAGTCACCCTCTGTCTCCCTTTCAGGCGGACCTCTGCACGTGAAGTTGCTTCAAACCCACTGGAGATCCGCTCCCGGCTTCACCACCCCCGCTGCTCCGCTGAGAGGCCCATCGCTTTAAAGAAAGCTTGGCTTCGCGAAGGCGACCAGCAAGCCTCATCCCCTTCGTGTGGGACCATGGCAAACCAACGTAGCTGGCCTCAGAAGCAGCAAAGGAATCCAATGGATCTCCAGTGGTCTCCAGGGCAAATTTCCTGTACAAGCTACATGAATGTAGATGGGCTCCTGGCCTTGGGAGATCTACATATATAGCACCAACTAAGCATCTCTTGAACCCTGTGGTCTCTCAATGTCTTTCAAGCACCAATTGCACCAGCACAGGCCCCATATAGCTAGGCAGAATCCAACGACCCAAATAACTCAAAGTCTGTAGCTGCTGCCACGTGGCTGGCTGGAACTAGAATGTACATGCGGCCAGCACAGCCAGCTCATAGCACCAGCATGCACCAGCACACCAGCACCGACAGCCAGCTGACACCAGCAACGGCACCTGCACACCCTGCCGCGACAGCATGCACAGCCAGCAGCAGCAGCAGCACCGACACCCTGTCTCGAAAGCACGCACAGCAAGCTCATCCTTATTTGAAGTAAGAACTCCATATATATATATATATTGCTATCTTGGGAAAAGGGGCTGCACAAGCAGAACCTGGGGTCGTCTGTGCAACAAAAAGCACGATAGATCAATAATGACGATCAATTGATCCGATGCTTCAACGTATATGTCTCTTTCACTTCAGCCGGTCTCCAATAACCCAGAGTGCTTCTCTGACTCTTAAAGCCAAGCCCAGGGGCGCTCTGGCCCATACTGTACCAAGTGTGCGCCACTGCCACCCACCATCTCACCGATGAGGGTTGCAGATGACAAAGTCTCCCGCAAACACAGCTGTGAGGAGTCTTCCTTAGTGTCAACGTGGGCAGCCCAGTCAGCCAGCCACTCAGCTTGTCACCATCCCGCCCCAAGTCGAACCACTCAATCAAGTCTCTAACTTGGACAGCTGCAGGAACCATACCGCTCCGATCTGGCGTGCGAAGCGATACCTGCGGTCCTGCCACTGCGGCAGCTGAAGCTCTGAGGCGGTGCTGGCCAAGAGGGACACGTTCTTCGAGCAAAGGACCCACTTTGCTGAGTCCGCATGGTAGGAGACTTGGGCATTCTCGCCGTTGGCCTTTTCCAACCTCGAGCAATGCATCATCCATCCATCTCAAGTTCCAGGGTGGGATGAACAAATGAAGCCTTTTGGCGTTCATCGGTCGGGCCTAATTCCATCCAGTATGCAACAAACTTTGCCCAAAAGCTGTGCAGATGGACACTGCAATGAACTCGTCGGCATGTTCCTTTGGTTGCAGCATGTTGTAGATCATGCCCTGGGTGCGAGTTGCATTTCGTCGTTCTCATCTTCTTCCGTTAAACACTGCAAACACATCGAAACGGGTGCCGAATGGAAAACAGCAGGAAAACACACAACCACACCCAGCACCGGCAGAGCACGGCACACCCAGCACGGCCCGGTCCACCGCGCTCGTTCAGCACTGCGCCTGGTCACCGCGAGGGAACTCGCACCTTCGGCTGCTCGAAGGCTCTCCATGAGCAGCGTGGATCCGGGCGTGGTCCGCGCCTGGCGTTTCGGTCGGTGCGGGGTGAAACCCCCTGGGAGACGCCCCAACAGATGCCTGGAGGTCTGGTTTTTCTGCATCCGTTCGGTGCGAAGAATCTTATTGAGTCTGAGTTTTCCACAATATGACTCTTAGATTTTAGATCTTCTATGATGTTCTTATCATTCAGCATTTTTTTTCATGACTTGAGCATCTCGGATTCTGATCTTCAACCATCCACACTTCATCCCCACTTCATCCCCGACCTCCAAGGTCCCACTCTCCAGATCGAAGAACTTGGGCAGCCCTCTTCGCACCACGCTGATGCCGCCAGTCCCACTCTCCAGAAAGCTCAGCCCGCGACGCAAGCACCGGCGTAATGAGGCGTCCTCCGCAAAGAGCGTGTCCTCTCGGCCAAAGCGGACAAGGTGAGGTCCACTGCGTTGAAGCAGAAAACATGGGTGGTTCTCAACTGAGATGTAGGATGATGTAGGATGACACAGCTCCGACTACATCTCTCCATTTCGTGGCTGGCCAGGTGCGAGTGGGTTTCCCCCAACCGCCCAGCAGTATATAAAGAAAGAAAACCCCAAAAACATTCCAAACCCTTGGTCCCCTCATAATCATTCACAATCCCTCTCTGCGCTTGTTGATCGCTACCTTGACCGCCTTGACCAGTCCTTCTATGTGTTCTTCGAAGGAATCCCCTGGCCACAGGTTCGATCAGTAGGTAACGCAAACCCTCAAGTTCCATCATGGCTCCAACATGGGGCAACACATTGACACATTGTGACCAAAAGTAACGCATACTGCCACACTGCCACATACTGCCACTACGGAAGGAAAGACCCGAAATGAACAAACAATGGCAACTCCCTGTGGGTCCCTCGGATGTTTCCGATCGATGCCCCGGCTCGATTCCTCCGTCCTCAGATCGATTCTTCAGCCGGCTCCGCGTCAGCGCCACGTCGTGCAAGACGAGACCCTGCGGGAAGCCCGGCGACCTCGGAGAAGCGGCGGAGCGAGTGAGGAGGGTGCCGTAAGAAGTAGATGGCGTGATTCAGAGTAGATGGCGTTTAGGTCTAGGTCTAGGTGGTGCACACAGTGAAGTGCTGTGTTGAGATCCTTTTTGTTGCACTCTGGAAAGAAGTCACTGACAAAATGATAAGACCCATTGAGCAGGGTTGGAGGTCCATACAATTCAGCAACCACTGTCAGTACCACTGTTTGTCAATTCGGTCACAAGATGTCATAAGCAAGTGGTCATGAGTTCATGCCTTGAGTGACCTTGCTCCAATTATTGTGGAAGATGGTGCCTTCTTCATCCGTTTTCCATGAGTTTCTTTGAGGAAGCTTGATCAACCTGCATCCCACCAGCTGCCAGAACCGAATGTTCCCCGCAAAGTCCAAATATCTTCAACATCCCTGCAATGAATCATTGTCAACCCGTGGTAACCCGTGCCTAGAGCAAACTTGTCTCTTGAATCCGGGACTTCATTCCAAGAGATCCAAGTGGAAACACCCAACCGACCGACTGTCCCCGCAAGGATCTCCACCGGAGCACGTGGGAAGCCGCCGGCTCACCACGTGGACCAGGGGATTGGCCTGGACCCAGCGCCACAGCTCCATCGCTCTAGGACGCTCTTCGGTGGCTCTGGCTCAAAAACGAACGGTTTTGGATGCCGCGCCCAAACGGAGTGGGTGCCAATCATGGAAGTGGAAACGCAACTCGGGGAACAAATCATGCAAAAAAATCCAAGGGAAACAAGTGAAAAATGAAAAATCCTATAGTTGAACTGATAAGGGGACCGTTCTGCAACATCCAAGAGCTCGGAGCCGAAGTGCAGGCACCAGAATGAAATCATTCCGCTGCCAGCGGAAAAAGAAAAACCACACAAAAAAAAATCATATGGTTCATGCCACTCTTTCTTGGCGCATCAAAGCCAGGCAAACAAGAGACGACCGCGGCCAAGAATGCCCAATAGGAGACGATCGGCACACGGTGAAGTGCTGAACTTGAGGCCCCCGAGCGTCTGACTTACAACGCCCAGCTGGAACAAACAACGAACAATTGGAGCTTGGCAACCGACCCTGCCCGGTGGCACACCCGTACCCGGCCGCAGAATGGGTGGCATATTCTGATACAATGGTCTTGCATCCGTGACTCTCGACTTTCTCACGTCGGCGCCAAGAACCCTCGGCTCGCCCCAGAACGCTTGTGCAATCTTTTGCATCTCCACCGCCCATTCGCAGTGCTTCCGTCGGCATGTTTCAATTCCGCCCAGGTACGCCTTGGGGGCATGTGGGCGTGCTCAAATGACCACACACTTGGCTCCGTTGAGCAATCGTTAACACAAACGAATGGTCAAACCTGGGAGGTCGTCTATGCATCGTTCAGGCGAAGCTGACCAAAAAACGTTGGCGTGCAAGGCAAAAACAAGGAGAATGAACCTGAGCTCCAAAGGTGCCAACTGAGCAACTGGGCTCCAAACGAAAGCGACGAAAGCGACCAGTTCTTTGAGGGAATCCATCGGTGACCCGAGAATCGACGTCAAGATACGTCAGGTGATGGATATGTCGCTTGGAGCAGCTGGATACATCCGGTTGAACACTTCTACCTGGAGGTTTGACAAGGGACCAACTGCGTCCTAGAGGTCCTACAATTTCGTAGCGCGCTGTAAGCTGAACTGGGTCTTTCCCTTGTTCCCCATTTCATCAAAATTAAGAACACACTTGGAGAGTTCCCGCAGTTGGACAAGTTAAAAATACGAGGCCTACGTCTCGTAGACCGTCACACTGTACAAATTCAAGTGAAAACCTGGAACATGAAGGCCAGGGGGGCAGGAAAAACCTTCTAGGAAGGGAAAAAACCTGCCACCGTGAAACAAAGTGAAACGAGGCAACGCGAAAAGGGCTGCCATGACAGCGGGTCAGAGGCCCCCAGGGCTAAGGCATAGACGATGCTGTCTCCGCCATTGGTGTCCCCGCATAGTCAGTAAACAGAAGCCAAGGCCCACCGTACTGACGGCCGCCGTGGTGCAAGAGAAAAATGCAATAAAAGGCCGGGGTCCAGGAAGAGGAAAGGCAAGAAGCGAACAGCCACCATCGGCAATTCACGGTTCCAGAAGCAAGCCTGCAACAAGGCCGGAGGCATGTGGTGGCGCCGCGGCACCACGATGCCGACGGCGCAATGCCCGTCCAGCCCCTCGCGCCAGCACGACAGCAAGCTGGTCCAGGAGGCGAGCCTTCACAAGGGTCAGATCAATGCCCTCGACTGTGGCTACCAAGCCAGCCAGGCGGTGAAGGAAAGCCCGCGTTGCTGCCGTGCACCCACCATAGATGTCCCACACAAGGGGCTGGTAATGAATGCCTACTTGTTGGCAGGAGGCCGCGGTATCCAAGTGATCCCGCTTCCGCTGCGCGTAGGCAGTGACAGCATCTGGCGCCCCGCGTAAGGTGTCATCCCAGTGGCTGGGGCCCAAGGAATTGATGATAGCCACATCCAAGGCGAGGGCACCAAGCCCAACGGGCCGGGAGCCATCAGGCAAGGCTGGAAGAAGGCCAACCCCACCTCGCAAGAAGATGTCAGCAGGCCGCCGTCGCCCATCCCAAAAGTCCAGGGGCTTCTGCCTGGGGCCGCAGCTGGGCCCGTGCACAGTAGTCGTGCAAGAGGTCCCGCAAGCCATTGTGGAGAGCAACAGCATCACCGCCGGCCATACAAGATTGTGGGTGGCGACCCTTTACATCCATAGGCAAACCGCAAAAACGGCAGACCCCGCCCCCAAGGCACACATCGACGCCAAGGCGACCACCCAAACAAGTCAGGAAATCATCCTTGGAGAGATTGGTGTCAAGTACGCGCGAAGGGACAAGGTTCAAAACCGTTGACTCAGCAGAACATGCGTGGAGGCGACAAACATCATCGGTGCCTGCAGCTGCCTTCCAAGCCAGAACGTGTACTTCCCGGAGTCGATGTGAGATGGCCGGTTGGCTCAAACTGCGGTCCGGCTGGTCCCCCA